TGAGCCACGTTCCCAGCCCCGTGAGACTCTTATCTCTGTAAATTAACTACCAGAAAACTGGAAATGGTGCTGTGGCTCAAGTGGTAGAGCGCTTGCCTTGAGCTGAAGAGCTCAGGGACAGTACCCAGGCCCAGAGTTCAAGCCCCACATCTGACAGAAAGAAAAAACTAAGTCTCATGGACATTCCTGCCTGAGCTAGCTTTGAACTTTGATCCTCAGATCTCAGCCTCCTGAGTAGCTAGGATTATAGGTGTGAGCCACTGGCACCAGGCCCCTTTCATTGTTTGTTTTGTCGGTCATGAGGCTTGAACTCTGGGCTTGAGCACTGTCCTTCAGTTCTTCAGCTCAAGGCAAGCACTCTACTACTTGAGCTACAATGCCACTTCCGATTTTCTGTGGTTTATTGGAGATAAGAGTTTCATGGACTTTCCTACCTGGGCTAGTTTTGAACTGTGACCCTCAGATCTCAGCCTCCTGAGTAGCTAGGATTACAGGTGTGAGCCAGGGGTGTCCAGCTTCATTGGGTTTTAAAAGCTGGAGAAGGGCTGGGAATGTGGCTTAGTGGTAGAGTACTTAACCAAGCATGCATGAACCACATAAACAGAAAAATGCTCGGAGTAGTGCTGCGACTCAAGAGGTAGAATGCCAGCCTTGAGCAAAAAAAGCTCAGGGACAGTGCCCAGGCCATGAGTTCAAGCCCCAGGACTGTCAGAAATAAATATATAAATAATGATTGTTTTTTGAGACTTGAATGTAGAGATGATATATTTAGGAACAATGGCCCAGTAAAATTACAATTAAGAGAGGTAATAGGGAGATCTAGGGAGGGCAGTCAGAAAAGAGAGCCCTGTCTAAACTTGAGAGGTAAAGAAATCGAGTAAAGAAATGGAATAACTCAAAGAGATGGCAATTTAATTTGGAGAGTCTTGCTCTAAGGTGGTAGATTAAATTGTCTCTGAAAATGGGTTCGATTATGGGTTTGAGGACTGGTATATTAGAAAGTCCTGAATATCATTAGGTTCAGTGATTTGGACAGGGGACCCTAAATTTGAAGATTCCTTATCTGGTTATATTACAACAAGAGAAATATTTTCATTAATTTCAAGGTACCTCTGGGAGGTAAGATTTAAGGGGCATATTAATTTCAGGACACAAGAAAGATCTAGGTGGCCCTTTAAACTCGAAGAAACCTTGTCTGGTTATCAGGGAGAACTGTGTTGGTTAGAGTGAGAGATGTCTTGGAATCCCAGGTAATTCAGTTTATAGGAGCAGCCGGGGTGAAAGGCCTTGTAGACCCCTTAGGGGTTCTAATTGAAGAATCAATGCTGGCTCCTTCCTTGTTCCCAGGAAGGACAGTATTGATGAGCTGTTAAGCCAGTGAGGTTTTGGAGGCCTGGTGATCTGGTGGTGGTGGAGGATTAGGTGGCATCATGGAGCTCTGAGAACTAGAGAAATAAATTTCAGCAGTGTCTCCATTTGCAGAGGGGTCGAAATAGGAATATACTGTAGAAGGTGAAGTACTCAGAGACACACCTGAAACCGGGGAAGTTGGTGGATAAGAGGGTCTCCCCTCACCCTTCTCTCTCCCGTCGTGACGCTCTTACTTACTGCGCAGGCGCCTCCCCCCTGCCCCTCCCCCTCCCCCAACCCGGGACCCTAGCTACTCACCCACCCCCTCCCCTTCGCCCCTTCCCCTTCTCCATGTCCATGTCGGCTCGGAACAGATTCGCCTCCATGTGTCTCTGCGTGGTACGTGCCGCGGTACGGGATCCGGCCGCGCTCCCCCTCTTCCCGGACCCCCCAAAATCTCAAGCGTGTGAGCTTCAAGTGCTGTCCCTCTTCCCTCTGCTTGGTGCGGGGTCTCTGGGTTGCAACTTCTCGCGGACAGGACCAGTGGGGTCGCCCCTCTTGTCATCCACTTTAACTCACACCCCTCAATTTTGGGGTGCAAGCCTGGGTTCCAGGTCATTCTGTGCATCTGGGGCTTTGGAGGTGAGGGGAAGGGGGAAGGAACAACAGCGATTCTCTGTCCCCCAGGCCTTTCTCTCGTCTCAAGCCCTAATATATTGGGGGTGCAGACTTGTCCCAGTAGTATAGGAGCTTGTCATCCTTAAGGGCCCTGAATCCCAGTGGGGTAAAAAGAGCGGGGGGGGGGTGGATGGTGGAGATGTCTACCTTCCTGTTCTGCTTCAGCTACTCTATAATCTAGAGAGGTTCTGGCACCCCTACCCCTGCAACTCTGCAGTTTCAGAATTTCTCTTTTCCACTCATACCCCGCCCCCCCCCCATGCACATCAGAAATGTGTCTAGGGACTGAACCTAGGTCCAACATACTCCAGCTACATTTGGGGAACTTTTTTCTTCCTGGGCTGTTTTCCTCACATGGTCTTCCAATTTCCAGAAGCCTTTTCCTCAGTTGCCTCACACACACTACCCTCCTCTCCGGAGGTGGGCCAGGAGAGATGGCTGTGATAAAAAGCTTACCTTCATTTCTTCCCTAGAATGAATTATATATTGCACCTTTTCACCTTTCCATTTCCTCTGGTGCACCCTGAGAAGTTGCCATCAGGTTCAAGGTGAGGTGGGGCGAAGATGGAACATTGGGCTCAAATCCTCCTCTAATCTCCAAAAGTTACAACTACAAGTTTTGGCCCTGTTAAATTTCTATGTAAGATATTTGGGGGCTTTATGAAGTGAGGGGAGAGAGCTGCTTCCTACCCTTCTTCCTGGAGTCCCCAGTGGGGGACAATTGACCCTTAGCTTATGCAGTCTAAGCTGTAGACCTCCTCAGGATATGCAATGAACAACCCCTTTCTTTCATAAAACTAGAGAACTCAATCTTTAAGGAGTGTTGATTGCCTATATTCTTTCTACTTTTCTTCATTTACTTTTTGTGCCCATGGTATTGATCCTAGAGTTCAAGATTCTCTTAAGTCTGATGGCTCAGAGTTAGGCCCTGGGCCCTATTTCACATGTGTGTGTTGGAACTGAGGCTGGAACTTAGGGCCTTACACTCTTCCTCAGCTTTTTTGTTTCTCTCTCTCATGGTTGGCTCTCTACCACTGAGCCATTTCTAGAGTCCATCATTTTGCTGGTTAATTGGAGATAAGAGTCTCTGGATTTTTCTGCTTGAGCTGGCTTTGAACCCATGATCCTCAGATCTCAGCCTCCTGAGTATCTAGGATTACAGATGTGAGCCACCTTTGCCTGGCTATGTTTTTCATTTTCTTTTCTCTCTCTGTGAGTGTGTGTGTGTGTGTGTGAACTTGGTGCCTAGGTGCTGTTCCTGACCTTTTGTGCTCAAGGCTAGGGCTCTATCATTTGAGACTCAGTTCTACTTCTGGTTTTTTGGTTGTCAATTGGAAAGAAGAATTTCTGTACCTTTCTATGGGGCTATCTTGGAGTTCATGATCCTCAGATCTCAAACACCCAAGTAGCTAGGATTACAGTCATGAGCCACCTATACTGGCAACCTTTTTCCTTCTTTAAGGCTCTTTAATCATCTAGGGTCCTTTTTATTCTGATTGTTTCTGTGTCCTAGCTTGAAAGCATTGATGTTGACAGGACTATCTTCATTCCCCCATTCTCTTATGGTACCCCTTAATCTTTGGCAAAATTGGGTGACATCCTCAGCCTTGCTTCATCATTCTTAGAATTTCTAGAATCACTCTAGTATCAGGCATTGTCCTTCTTCTCATTTGATCTTTCAAATGTTACTCTCCAAATGTTGGGGGTATTCTTAGCTTCTCAGAAACTTTTGGGAGGGAAATTCTGCCCATGTGCATTAGTGGGTGTATTTTGTCTTCTCTGGTCCCTTAGGGAGCCTTGCATCTGGTATCTCCTCTTTTTTTCTGATTCTGGACATTTGGGCTGTTCTGCTTTTGTGGGGGTCAGCTCCTGAGGGGCACAGAAGAACAGAGGCACCAGGCAGAGTTGTTGTCCTCCACTGCTGTCTCCATCTGCCTTTTTCCTCTCTGCTTCCCAGTTAATCTCCTTTACTAGTGTGTCACTATTAAGCATGTATGACAGGGTCTTGAGATGGCAGCTAGTTAGGCAATGAGTCAGGGGACATGGGCCTTTTACCCCCTCAAGACCAAAGGGAGACAAGAGAAGTTCATTCTTAGGTCCAGCATGCCCTCCTCCTCCTCCTCTGTCAGGGGGCCTTCAACCCATTCCTGTTCATGTCCCAAGCCCTCCTTGCTTATCCCTCCCTTTCCTCCCTATGTCATCTCTGTCTAGTATATCCGGATTAGCCGTATGGGATGAGGGCTGTTGGAGGGTTGGGGCCAACTCCTGGGCCCTCTGCTGACTGACTACTTGGGAACCAGGCAGGCCAGTGAAGAGAGAGCAGGGCAGGCCTTGACCTGCTCGGGGGAATGGGGGGGGGTCCATGCCAAGTACCTTTTAGTTGAAGGACCTGACTTTGGTCCTGCTTTTGGCATGTAAGGTACAGAACAAATTGCTTATGGGGGAGCGACTACAAAAGGGGAGACTGAGGCCATAAAAGAGGGAGTGCACAACAGGAGCAGCAAATGGAGTTTGAGGAGGATGTCTGGACTGTGGGAGTAGGATTACGATGAGAGAAATAAAGTTGGGGATGGGGTGTAGGAAATAGGGGTACAAAGGTCGGGGGGGGGCTAGAGCTTTTGAAAATGGGGGTGGAAGATGAAGGCCTAAGGAAAGGGCTGAAGACAATGGATCCTGAAGGGGTGGGAGAATGTAGGGTGGAAGGCCAAGGTCCCCAGGAGGTGAGGAGTAGGAGTGAGAGGGATGGGGTTGAGACTTGGGGCGAGAGGAGAGGTGCTGAGGGCCTGGCAGGAGAGGGGGCTGTCCAAAGGGTGGAGAGAGGGGAGCCAATGGGCTGGAGGGGAGGGAGGGGGAGGAGCTGGTCAGGCCCCAGGGCCTTCCGCACTGCACTGGCTGGGGAAGAAGAGGCTGCCCGGTGGCCTGGAGCCTTAGGCACTGGACCCGCCTGGTGACGCTTCGGTCCCCATCCTCAGAAATACCGCTACCAAGATGAAGACACGCCCCCTCTGGAGCACAGCCCGGCCCACCTCCCCAACCAGGTAAACGCCCCCGAGCCGGTGCACGTGGCGGAGAGGAACTTGTCCCACCTCGAGGCTGTCCACGGGGTCGTGGGCCACGCCCACCTCTCCCCCCTCCAGGTAGGAGACCCTGGCGGCCCCCTCCCCAGTGCGGCCCTCGGAGTCTCGGAGCTGCCACCATCCCCCAAGGGCCGGTAGGGCGACAGCTGTGGGGGAGGGCAGGGACGGGGAGGGGGGGGTTGTCTAGGTCTTTGGCTCCTGGGGCCCCGGGAAGGGGGCATTTGGGGAAGCTGGAAACACATTGTCCCTTGGAGGAGAAACAGGCCAGGCGAGTGGGAGTGGGCTAGAGCCTAAAGCCAGAATATCTATGTGTGTCTGTGCAACTGTGCTGTTGTGAGCATGTTGAGATGTGTGGGTGCACCAGAATCCCCCTACCCCGAACAAAAAGCCAGGGCCCTCATTCCATCACACCCCCATCTCCATATCCTTGTTCGGTGTCCAGAGCTCTGTTGCAAGCGCCTGCTGCCCTCATTTGCTCTTGTCCCTTCCCTGCCCCCCACCCCCTCCGCCTCTGGGCTTGGCTCTGCCTGTCTGTCCCCAGTCTCCAGCTCTTCCCATCTGTCTGGCCTGAGACTGTATGTCGTCGTCGTCGTCGGACCTTCCTGCCTCTTCCTCTGCTCCAGTCTTTGCTCTCTTCCTGTGCTCCCTCCTCCTCCACCACCTTTCCCTCCCTGCTGGCTGGCTGGCTGGTTCTTGATGCTGTCTCTCTCTTCCTCCCACGCATGCATCTCCTTCCCCCTCTAGCTGATCCCCAGCTCAGGCCTCTGCGGCCTGATCAGCCTTCCAGCAGTCAGCACCTTTTCCTAATGTCACCCTTCCCAGGTTCTCTCTCTTTCCTTCTACCTTCTGGGCTCACCCTCCACCCTTCTTTTCTTTCTCATCCCTCCTCTCCATTATTATTCACCACCACCTGTTTGGCCTTCTCTCCTTTGTGCTTACTGTGTACTTTCTCTTCTCTGGCCCTACTAGGCCTTGTTTTTGAGACCTTCCATTTCTCTTCCCCACCCCTCCCTCCAGTCTTCTCTTCTGAGGACACAAGGTGGGGATGAATGGAGAGTACTAGGGAAGCTGTGAGATTGAGGGGGAACACAGTACTCAGGGGTATAGGATGCCTCAGGAAAGGGGAGATTGCTGAGATTTTACCAAGATAATGGGGAGGAGGTTTCTGAGCCAAGGGATGAGGCCGAGAGGAGGCTGCAGCAGGCTCTTGGGTTGGCAGTGGCCTGAGAGGATTTGGAAAGGGTTAGCAAAGGTGAGGGTGCTGGGACAGAGGACAGACAAGAATGAAATTGAAATTAGGGCAATGCATTGAGTTAGTTGACGAAGGAAAATGAAACCCTGGAAATGGGAGTGGTACAGAGTATTTATGTACAACTCCGTGGCTGCAAAGAGTGAAGGAAGATTCCAGATGCTTTTTGCAAGATGGGGCTGTTGTGTCCCCCGGAAGGAAGAAGACAGACAGGAGGCTTGGTGGGTAGTATAGTACAGTCCGGTGGGTCAGAGCTGGGGGAACAGGTGGAAGACTTCCCTCGGGTGAGGGTGGGAAATTGCATGACAAGGTTTCACCTGGGAACAGGAAAAGCCCTGATTTTCAGAGGAGATGGAGAGTGTGTGTGTTGAGAGTGAAGGCATATACTTTGGGGGTAGAAGCTTGAGGATTTGAAGATGGGGGCAAGAAGTAATGGTGAGGCTCTCTTGGGAATCAAATTGGGATGGAGAGTGAGGACAGATGGTAAAGGATGGGGCTGGAGGGCAGGAGAGGGATGGTAAAGTAGGTGGAGAATGGAGGCTGAGGTTGGGAGATGGAAAGTGAAGACTGAGGACAGGGATCTAGGTGGTTGTGGGGTAGCGACAGAGATAATTATGAGTAGGTGGGGATGAAGGGTGGTGGATGGGGGAGATTCTAGGATCAAGGATGGGGTATGAGATGGAGAATGAAGTATTGGTGGAGATTTCTTGCCTACAGTATTTGGCTGCGATTTCGAGGGCTGGGAGGTAGGCTTTAATAGATGCTTGGGTATGAAGTCTATTGCAGAGCCTGAAAATGGCTGGGGGATTCTGTGATTGAGAAATAGGAATCGGAAAGGAGGGACCCTTTGGAGTCGGGGGGGGGTGGGGGGAAGCGGAAAGGAGACTGAGGAATATGCGCCCTTGATTGGCCCCCAAAACTTGAGGAACTAGGTTGGGTACCCCGGAAGGAGGCCCTTAGCAGCCTCCTTCTATTACCATAGAGATGTGGCTTCCGTTGCCCTGGCAATTGGGGAAGCCCCTAGGACTGGCTAAAAGCTAGCCCCGCCCCAGGAGTCTAGAGACCTGGCAGTGCCTGGGTGACTGACGACTGACGTCAGGGATCCGGGCACGCCCCGCTTTAACCCTTTCCTTAATGACTTGGGGGAGGGAGATGAGCAGGCTGGGTCCTGAATTTCTTTCACCACTCTTTCTTTCTGACGTCCCTTGCACTGTTTGCACTGTAGGATGAGGGTGCAAGGTTGAGAGGAAAACTGGTTAATACAGCATGCGCAGTGCCCAGGAATCCCTGGGGCCTGGCCGCCTCTGGGACGGGCTAGAGAAGGGCGGGGCGCAGGATTGGAGGGGCGGGACTAACGGTAGCCCTTCTGCGCTTGTGTGTCTGGCCGACCCTAAGCCACGCCTCCCGTTGTCCTGACGACAGGACCTCCAGTAGGTGGGTCTCCCCGGGTCTTGGCTGGTCTTAGATACCGTTGCTAGGCAACATGGTCCCTGGAGGAAGGGATGGATTGGATGGCGGGTGAGCGAGAGGGAGGGAGGGACTTGCAGCTGGGGAAACCCCGGATTCCCGTGCACTGGGTTTACAGCAAATAACATGAAGGTGAGGGTCAAATCTGGGGAAGATTCTAAAGATACCCGGCTAGATATAAGGAGATAGGGACGGGAAAAGGAAAGAAGGACCTGGAGGACATGAACCCTAGGGTATACGTGTGTAGCACGTAAAGCATGTAACACCCTGTGGTGTTACATCCGGTGAGAATGCCCCCCCTCACCATCTGCTGCTCCCCTTTCCGTCTGGCTGTCTCTCCCTTCCTGCTCATACATCTTCCACATGCAGGAGGTGTGTGTGGGGGGGATTGAGCAGAGTTGGATCCATGCACATGTGTGTGTGTGTGCGTGCGCGTGCGTGCGTGTGCCTGTGAGAGAGACTCAGAGAGAGAGAGAGAGAGAGAGAGAGAGAGATGTACTTTGGCTGGACCTTAAGGCACCCTAAGAGCAATGGGCTTTGCTAAGTCTCTGAAAGGAGAGTCAGGGTGTGGGAGTCCACCCTTGGTTATGTGGGATCCCTCTGGGGCAAAGGCTTAGGCAGCTTTTTTTGTTTTCTCTTTCCCCTTACAGGCCAATTCTCCCCCTGTGATTGTCAATACAGACACCCTAGAAGCCCCAGGATATGTGAGTTGTTTAGATTTTGGAGCTGGGGGCTATTGCAGGAGGAGGGAAAGAAGATATGGGTCCTTACAAGGGGGGTGAGAGGTGAGTTCCAGTCTGGAATGTCTGTCTCACTGTTTTTGTATTTCTGTCCCGTGCTGGAGTTGCAGGTGAACGGGACCGAGGGGGAGATGGAATACGAGGAGATCACATTGGAAAGGGTAAGCCAGCTCCTCCATCTTTGGCTCCTTGCCTGTGTGTCCCTCTGAGCCTGTTTTCTAGGTGATCAACCTCTTCATTGTGTCCATTTGTGTTCTGGCAGGGCCTTTCCAACCCATTCCCCTCCCCACTTGCCTTGACTAGAATTGTGCAATAAGGGGAGCTGACTCTCTTGTCTTCTTTCTCCCCAGGGTAACTCAGGTCTGGGCTTCAGCATCGCAGGTGGCACTGACAACCCACACATTGGTGACGACCCATCCATTTTCATCACCAAGATCATTCCTGGCGGGGCTGCAGCCCAGGATGGCCGCCTCAGGTGGGGAGAGTAGACAGGGGTTAGGAAGCTGGTACCCTTGAAAAGAGGGTCAGGTGGGACTGGGAAGGTGGCTCAGTGGTAGAGTGCTTGCCTTGCATGCATGAGGCCCTGGGTTCGATTCCTCAGCACCACATAAGCAGAAAAAGCCGGAAGTG